AGATCAGGCTTAGCTTGCTCGGCACCAACGCTGGTTTCTCCAACAGATACAACACTGCTACTACTGCTTGAAGAAGCTCCTTGTTCGATCTCTTTCGTCATCTTCATGAAATAACTGTGCCTGGATAAACGAGCCAGAAAGAGTGATAGCCAAGCATTTCAGCTCATAACCGTTGAAGAAATCAAAAGACAGGGAAACTAATTAACCAATTACCATCGCGTGTCTGCAGTTAACTCAGGATGAAACGCAGTTGCTAACAAGTTTCTTTGCTTCACAGCAACAATGACTTGTGTTTCCGGAAGAGCATCTTCCTGTTAAGAAAATGAAATCAACAAGACGAGATTCATACATGTCCTCGAAAAAAAAACGTAAACTTTTCATGAGCATCGGTGCAAATATCAAGCAGACCTCTTGGATTTGAACAGTAGAGCTTGAATACAAGACCTTGTTTGATGGAACGGGATAATGGGCTAAGACTTCGACACCAGGGCCTACATCGAGAACAGCTGGAGCACGTATGAACACTCCACGGAATGTCTCTGCCCCACCTTCTTTAGATGTTAGTTGAGGTACTGAGATATCAGCTTCAAAACTTTGAATCTACACATTAAAAAAACACCCTTTGATATCAAGCTTTTACATCTTTCATTGTTCAAGAACACTCCAAGATTTTCAAACGGTTAAGATCTTATTTGATGCTACGACTGAATCCTTATAAAAGGCCTGCAATTCATTTTAGTCCACATAGAACCGAGTTATCTATAATGCTGCATCACAGAATATGCCAGTTTTAGCAGTCTCTTTTCGACATCTCGTAAGTAAAGTTGATAGACATATCTCTGAGTTATGGTGAATAGCATGGATTTCGAAATCTTGGTAAAAAGACATAAACTTTACCTGGCTTCCAAAGAAATTCCTATGCACGGTGCAATCAAGGCCACCAACTAGTTCCTGACCTCCCTCCTTCTGACCTGAATTTTTCAACATTTTCTCGTTTTAGTTTCCTATAATTTTCCGCAAAGACAAATGATATGAAGATCAATCAAAGTACTCACCAACTGCTCTGTCTGCCAAGAAGATAAGACCCGCACATGTCCCCCAAACAGGTTTCCCCGTCTTAACAAACTCACGTAGAGCCGGGAACTTTAAAATAGCAAAACGAAAGAAATTTAGAACAGAGAAGAGGCTTCTATACTATTCATCCTCTCAATCTCACATCTAAAAACTGTATATAGCAATCAAATCCAAACAATGTGTTTAAGTTAAACTAAACGTAAATCAAAGCTTCCCCTTTCATGTTACTAGACTCACTATTGATATCATCTATAAGATCATCTAATCAAAGAGTATATTCGTGGAAAATGCTGAAGGGTTTGAGGTACAAAACATTAAACATAAACAGAGAAACCAGAAAGTACATTAACTCAGGAAACCTAATCACAAAATTCTTTCTTTTTCAATTACACAGCCAATTTTTTTGAGAACACTAACTAAATTCCACAGGAATTAGAGACAATTGACTCCATCAAACCAAAAAAAATTCTCCTAGCTCATACAGAGATCATTTCTCCAACAATGTCAGATTTCTCCTCAAACCTGAATTCTGGAGGAAATTTTGATAACTCCATAACAGAAAATCCTAAATTCTGAATTGCCTAATTAGTGAATATCGCCAGATTCGTTTTCAAACACACATAAAAAAGGAACCTTTCCTTGTTTCTCCAAGTGGGCCCTCACGAAAACAATAAAATTCAATGCCCGAGCAATTGAATTACAACAAAAAAAAACTCAGATTCTAGAGAGAGAGAGGGGACCAGGTTATGGTACTCGGCGAGTTTGGCCATGGTGGTGCTCTCGCCGCCAGGAATGATGAGAGAAGAAACGGTGAGAAGCTGCTCCGCCTTCCTTATCTCGATTCCTTGGACGCCGAGCCGCCGGAGAGCCGCGATGTGCTCATTGAAAGAACCTTGCAAAGCTAAAACTCCGACGGTCATTGCGGCGGCGTGATTTGTGAGAGAGAGAGAGAGAGAGAGAGAGAAAGGGGGAGAGAGTGTCAGATAAACACTAAAACTGCGTGTATGGACTCAGACAATGCTTTTGTTGTTCCGAGTGGCGACAATTTCTTTCCCATTTGTTTTGTGTTTCTTTCTTTGCCCACGATTTGGAATAATAATCAGTTATTTAGAAATTAGATTCTTCCCTGAAACGTTGATATTTTATATTTTCTTCCGAAAAATATAAAACGTAACATTTTTGCGAAATATAGGAAAGCATGTTTTTTTCTTGAACATGTTCACATGAAAAGCTTAATAAGGTGTACGTATATACAACCTATGTAAGGTTATTGTGTGAACAAGATTTAATAAACTTGTTTTCCTATAGAGGTTAAGGAATTCTCTAAGAACTGTAACCTCTTTTACATTTTTAAAGATTATTCCGATAAAAAAAAAACTAACATTTTACACTTTACATATCAAACAACAAATTGAGATATCACGTTCTGAATGTATTCAAAATTAAATGACCAGAAATACAAATCTCTTGTTCTCATCGACAAGAATTTGGGACTAGATTCTCAACGAAATTCTAAACGAAGAGCTGGGGTTGCAAACTTGCAGCCAAACTTGTTTGTTTTGTAGTGTATCAGATGAAGCAAAAGACCGTCTAATTCTCTTATTTCTCAAGTCACTGCATATATACTAATTTCGTGCTCTTATTACCAAATGGCATATATAGTCGAATATTGGAAATCAGCTATAGACCCATGATACGAGTCCAAGAGATGACTTGGTCTAACACTTGACGACATACTTGGTCTAACACTTGACATACACTACCCATGTTTTTAATAGATTGGATTTGTTTATCCATTTAAACTTCAATCTACCATAAATATAAAGAGATATATTATGACAAGAAGCATTGTAGAAAGTATCACTCTTTTTGAAATCATGTTTCTCTTTGTTGTTTTCACTCACCAAACTGAAAAATCTTTGAACAAGATGGTTTCAATCCAAAAAAAAATTATTTGTTTTTTTTTTTGCAGTATATTTTGTCTTTCTAAATATATTCAAAGCTGTTTAAGAAACAACATTAGTCAAAATTCTGAATAAGATTATTTTACTTTAAAAACAAAAACTATCGTTAGTCAAAGTAACATATAGATGTTTTTAGATATTTATTTTACAATAAATGGTATATTGAACTTTGCTAAAAAATAGTGATATATTGAACTTATTGGTTGGCTAGTGCTTGGGTTGTAGGTGGTATCTTTTATTTTTAGAACAGATGAATTTAGTTTGCTGTCAAACAAAAAAGAATTTTGTTTTAGGGTGTGTCACATTAGCTGGTAAAGTTTTAATTATATATAGTTTAATTTTATTTTAATTTTATAAGGATATAAAACTATAAGGACTTAAAAAAAATAAACACAGAAGGGGAGAGAATCTCGATCAAAGGCTTCTCGTAGCTCTTTTTTTGTGTCTAATCTCACGCACGACGCAGCGAGAGAGCCCTTACCTTGCGACCAAAAATATTCCATTTTTTCTTTTTTTGTATCTTCTTCGTCTTCTCCGTCTTCTCCGATCGAATTCTCCAAATCAGCTTGAATGTAAGATTTTTCGCTTTTTCCCTTCAGTTACTTTGCTATTATCTGGGTTTTGTCATCTCTTTTTTTTCCCCATTGCCGAACACTCGATCTCCTTATGAATTTGCATTGCAAATCTTTTTTTTTTTACCCTGGGTTTATTCTGCTGCCCATCGATTTCCAAATTAGGGTTCTTTTCTAAATTTAGGGAGATTCTGGTTTGTGATTATGAAGCCACCGTCTTGGGGTTGTTGAGTTTGCGGTGGAATTTGGGATTGTTGTGTAGTTTTGATCATTGTTTTTATCTTTTCTTCATTCGAGTTGACCATTTGGATTGAAAAAAGTGTACACCTTTACGCCAGAATCATAATATCGACAATGTGATGTAATGCGATTTCGATTCGTGTTTGTGAACACAAAGTTTTAAAATTTATAAAACCAGTCTTAGTGGTTGTTATCAGCGAAATTAATGAAAAAAACTTGACCTTTTTGCAGAAGCTTTTATTTCATCTTGACTTTATTGGCGGTTGTTGTTGAAGCTGTGTAGCTCTTAATAATAGGGGCTATGCAGTCAACGAGTTGCTGGTCTTGAAGACGAAGGCGAGGAACTGAGATAAATATCACAAAAAAACATATTTATAAGGTTGCATTTTTAGGCATGTCGCGTTTCGAATGCAGTGGTTATGATATCTCAAGTTGCTTAATTCATCTCGCTGAATGGCATCCTTTGGAATAGACAAGTTTATCGGGCTTGAAGCCCTCTAAACCCCTTTTTGTCGCGGGGTGAGATTTCGATTTGAACAGAGGTTTTTTGCGTTTGATCATTTGGATGCTCAAGTCAGGATTTTAATTTTTGATGTCACTTTTTGTTTTTGTTACAGGTTACTCACAGCACGTTATATTTAATCATACAGCAAAATTTTTTAGTTTTTTTGAGGGAAGTAGATCATGTTTCGTGATGGTTTTTTGTTTGCCCGTACAATGGGTTGCTTTGGATGCTTTGGCGCTTCTGCTAGAACCCGTCAATATCCAGAGCCTGAGGAAAATGATACAAATTCATGTAGTAGTGATGGAGTTGAGAGAAGAGATGACGATGAAGAAGATGAAGAAGAAGTAGAGCAGAAGAGCCGCTCTAAAAGATCCGAGGAAATTTTGAAATATAGATTAGATAATGGGTTAATCTGCAGGCAGTTTCCAGTGAAAGAAACTAATGAACTTATCCGTGGAGAGGTAAACTAACATCTTGTGCCTATCTCTCATATTCTTTTCCTGGCAAGTGTATAATTGCTTCTTAGAATATCCCATGGTTTGTGTCTATGCCAATTTTGTTGTTGTTTGATCTTCAGGATGAAGATGGGAATAAGATGATCAATGAGTATGTTCGCGAGTGTAAAATTGGAGCCGGTAGCTATGGTAAAGTGGTAAGTGTCTCATTTACAATCCTTTCCAGTCCTTTTACGTGTATCTCCCAAAAGCATCTATAAGGACCATGACATTATTTTTTGCATTTATAGGTTTTATATCGAAGCACTGTAGATGGCCAGAACTATGCTATCAAGGTAAGCTCTTTTTTTCTTTTCCTCATTACCTCGTGAAACCGTTTCTTTTTTTGGCTTAGCTGATGTTTGTGATGTTGAACTATGATCCTTCAATATAGCGCAGATTATAGAAGTTAATTTGTTTAGTTGGGTTTATAAAAAGCTCTCTGATATATCGTGATATAATACTTGGGTTTACAGGCATTTCACAAGTCGCATTTATTAAGGCTAAGGGTTGCACCTTCAGAGACAGCTATGAGTGATGTTCTTCGAGAGGTATAATGCGTTTTCTGTATTGTTTTTCTTCAACAGTATTTGTATTAGTTTCATATTAGAGAACTTGTGTTTACGCTCTTTTTATCTCTTTCACTTTCAGGTTATGATTATGAAAATTCTGGAGCACCCTAACATCGTTAATCTCATTGAGGTCATAGATGACCCCGAAAGTGATCATTTTTACATGGGTACTTATTTTCCTCTACCCTTTTCCTGCTGTTTTGGTATTTTAATTTCCGTGAAAAAACCATCTTATCTTCTAATGTTTGTCTTTCTGGTTTCTCTTAGTTCTCGAATACGTTGATGGAAAATGGGTGTATGATGGTTCTGGACCACCTGGTGCTCTGGGAGAGAAAACTGCTAGAAAGTATTTGCGGGATATCGTTGCTGGCCTGATGTATCTTCATGCTCATGTATGATCTTCGTTTGTTTACCGAGCTTCTCTTGCTTCATGGTTCATCACCTAATACTGTCTTGATACTACAGAATGTAATTCACGGAGACATTAAACCCGACAATCTGCTGGTTACTAGTAGCGGTACAGTGAAGATAGGAGATTTCAGTGTCAGCCAAGTATTCAAGGTAGTAAATGATGTTTGTATCTTTCATATTCAGTTAATTCTTGAAATGTATATCTTGTAACCTGAAGTGTTAGCATCGATTTGCTTTTGTTACAGGATGATGATGATCAACTGCGTCGATCTCCCGGGACTCCAGTCTTCACTGCTCCTGAATGTTGTTTAGGTCAGCTTCCTTTCTAATATCTTTAAGCTTGGTCCTAAGTGTTTAGAGAGAATATAAGCGAGTATCTTTGGTTTTTTTTTGGAATGGAAACAGTATCAGGTATAACGTATAGTGGCAGAGCAGCGGATACATGGGCAGTTGGAGTTACTTTGTATCGTATGATATTGGGACAATATCCGTTTCTTGCTGATACTCTTCAGGACACCTACGACAAGGTAGGGCTTTTGCGCATATGATCAGTGGTTTTTCTTGACTCTCAAGAAATCTCTCTTTGAAGAACCCTAAACCTCCGATTATTTTCTCTTAAACAGATTGTTAACAACCCTTTGATAATCCCGGATGGATTGAATCCTCTTCTAAGAGATTTGATCGAAGGTCTCCTTTGCAAAAGTGAGTTTTTTTTTTTCAACATTTTGGTGTTGTTAAACTATATAGAGATCTGAGTTTATGTTTGTGGAGTAATGGTGGGATTCACTTGTTGTTTCAAGATCCGAGTGAGAGAATGACATTGAAGAATGTGTCGGAGCATCCTTGGTTGATCGGAGAAGAAGGGCATGTTCTTGAGTATTTTTGTTGCTGCAAACGCAATTCCGCCTTAAAGATTGAAGAAGCTAATGGGATCTCTGAAGAAATCTCGGATCATAACCAAAAGAAAAGCTTTTCATCGTTTTCAAGCCTGATGAAATAGATTGCACACGTTAACATCAGGCTATCACAACTCCATAACCGTACACGTTTGCGGTCATTGTTTACCTTTTTATTCCCCTTTAATACTAGATAATTGTCATGTTTTTGTGTATTGATTATAAGTTTTAAAATTAATATGACTGATATTGATTTTTCATTTTGATGTTCTTTTACTTTTTCGGCTCATTTTTTGTCAAGATTCGATTTTCAGCACTTCAGAATACAGTAAAACTTCTATAAATTAATAATGGTGGATTGCAATATTTTATTAATTTATTAAATTATTAATTTATCGATAAAAAAATCAACTAAAAAATTAATTTAGTACCTAAAAAATATATTAATTTATCGAGTATTAATTTATAGAGGTTATATTGTAATAGTACATCCACCTCCGTATTATCGGACTCGGTTATTATATTGCTACATAATTGCCTATCCATGGATTAAAAGATGCAAAGGTAAGAATGAAATATTTAGAGGGGAGTTGTGAGTTGTAATTCCTAAATTTATGGATACAAATGTATTCAAAGTTCCTTTCATCAAAACTTTCTTAAACAGTTTTTGAATAATAGTAGATTTGATATTATCTTTTTACAAAAGTCTTGATTGAATAAATAGAAAATTTCAATTATTTTAAGTAATATGCATGTAACTAACATTTATGTAATTTTTAAGTGTAAGTGTGCATAAATGTTAATATATATTACATATATATATGTATGCATGTACAAGTACAAGTGCATGTATGTGTATCACGCATGTACTTGAATCTAACAATTATTTCTGTAATAAAGCTAATACTATTCCATAGTTATCTTGAATATCGTAACTATAAAAGCCAGCCGTTAGCTCTCAAATATTCATGCAGTGGATAGCAAAAAACATTTTATATTAACCTGTAAAAAGCTGAAATCATCGAAAAATGGCGTCATCCAGAATTCAATTTGTTGCTCTTCTCGTCATTGCTTCTCTCTTTGTTAACTCTATTGCGGAGGAAACTTGTGGAAACTTTTTTCCATTGCTACCTTGTCAGACGAAAGAAGAATGTATCCAGAGATGTGGAGACAAACCACCTATGTGTGCGCATTTGACTCATAGACCGGGATATTCTGGTAATTGTTGTTGTGTAGGAGTTTAAACAATGTAATTTGATTGTGAGATCATTTTACTATATATTGAAATCAGATCTTTTATCAATAAATTAACCAGTTATTAATATAATACGTTTTTTTTCTATTCTTATTTTCATCACTAAAAAAAGTCTTGAGAAAATTTATACATGCACTTATTAGATGTGGTATTTGTAATCATGTTTCGTAGATTTTAAATTTCAGTGTTGTTCAATTAAGTTCTTAACAAAAAAAATTCATTAAAACCTGGTGTTAGCCAAACAACAAAATTTTATAAAAATTATAAAGTATAAATTTTAATTGGGATTTCATAACCCGCACACATAAATTACTGTAAATGTTATCAAAAGTTTAAATCGATTCTAAAAATTCCTTGGAGCCCTTCCACAGCCTGCTCCGAATCCGACTCACTGATGACACTGTCACGGACACTTAAAAAACTGGCCAACGAATTGCCTTATAGCTTTTGTTTCCAGCACAACATGATTTCTCCCATGGCTCGTGCCCCAATCCAACGAACTTATTCCACCTTTGTAATCTTTAAGAACTCATCCCACTCTGCAGTTTTCTCTATTCGGATCCTACACACCGTCTGCATTATATTTTTGAGGAGGTGTCCATACCCTAGGCTTAGCGATAAATTCTCCTTGACAAGTGAAACCTCTCGGCTTGAAGCCATCAATCCATCTGCTTGAGCTTTAATGATCACTTGCTTGAGCTTTAAAGGTTACGATTATAGTAAATTGGCATGTCATGGTTCACAAGATTTGAGAATATCAAATGTTAATTATATGCATCAGTCAATCAATCAATCAAGATATTCCACTTATTTAACAAAATAAATCAAGATATTCCAAGAGAAAAAACCATGTCTTAAATCGAGGGAAAAAATCTATTTTAGAAAGGCATTGTTTTATGTTTTCCTTTTTATTCGAGACTAGGGAAGATTGAGAGAGTTCAAGAATTCAGAAATATATTCAAGACTAGGGAAGATTGAGACAGGTGTGTAATTAAAACTATATTTTTTGTTTATCAAAAATAAATAACCGGATGCAGCAAAACAGAAAGATTAGATGTGTGATTGTTGACTAAAATCTGGTAACATTACATCTATTTCTATATCTATTCATGTTGATTATTGACTTAAATCTGATCTAACTAACTCTGTAGATCTAAAAGCTAATACAATCTTGAATATCTAACTATAAACCAACCATGAGCTTAGGAATATACAAGCAGTGGATGACAATAAACATTAGTTATAAAAGTAGAAATCATCGAAAAATGGCATCGTCGAGAATTCAATTTGTTGCTCTTCTCGTCATTGCTTCTCTCCTTGTTAACAATGTGTAATCCACTCCTGCAGAGACCCCTATCTCGGCGGAAGAATGTGGAATTCGTTTACCAGTGGTACCTTGTAACTCAAATGAAGATTGTGCCAAGCATTGTTGAGGCAAACCATCTTCTTGTGTGCCTCTCACTCCTCCAGAAGGAATATCACGTTCGTGTTGTTGTATACATCAGTAGGAACAATGTAATTTAACGGAGAAATTAGATACTGAAATTTAAATAAACATTTTATCGATAAATTATTCGTTTCTCTCAAATCTTATATTGATGATGTTTCTCTAAATTTTCTTGCTTGTGTTCCAAGATCAGACTACGTATTTTTCGTTGTCTTCCAATATTTGAGAGTTTCTCTGCCTCCTTTCACTTAGTGTTTGCAATTGTTTATGATCAATGTTTCTCTTGGCCCTCAAGGAATCTATATGAAAACCCTAAACCTTAGATTATCTATCTCTAAACATATATCCTTTGATATTAGTCCCGCATGGATTGATTAAGAGATTTGATCCAAGGTCTCATTTGCATAAGTGAGTTTTTTTCATCCTTTTGAGGCATCCATGGCTAATCGGAGAAGACGGGCATGCCCCTGAGCATTTCTGTTGCTGCAAACAACGCAATTCTGCCTAAAAGATTAAACAAGAAAAAGCTAGTTTTGTTGTGCGATTTACTTGTATATCTATCATCCAATATGACTTTGAGTTAGTTTTATTATGCGGTTTAATTATTAGTAAATTTTAAATGTGAAAGTGATATGATGTTAATATATATATATATATACTTATATACATGCCAACATGAATTTGAATTTATATATATATATATATATCCATAAAATAAGAATTTAATTGTGAATATTTAATGAGAGATCAAACTATCATTTTTAGTTAATGAACTCTAAAATATGTGTTAATAATAATTAGATATAGAATTGTTAAAGTGGATAAACCCGTCTACTTAATTTATTTTGTAATTTATTAAAATATTTTTTCTATCAATCCATAAAAAAAAAATTGAATATAAATTTTGAAAACATATTTCAGTTTTTAATAGAAATAATAGAATTCATTTTTGAAAATGATACTAATTAATTATGAAAATACAAGTGAAAAATATTGTAAAAGTTTAGATAGATTTTTTCATATATATGGATTGATTATTATTTAAAATAATAATCTATATATGTTAAAATTTTAATAAGTAAATAAACTAAATACACTTTTGATTTATATCTATATATATTCAAAACAAATCTGTGAACTTTATATTTAATTATCTATTATTGAGAAATATTTAATTAAAATTTTTATATTTGTAAAGTTTATTTATGTAATATCTTATAAATAAAAGTTTATTTATGTAATATCTTATAAATAAATGTTTATTTATGTAAAATATTTTGTAGTATCTTACAAATAAAGGTTCATGAAATGTCTATTCAAATAATAATATAGAGATATAATTATTTTTGTTGGTAACTGTAAATGTTAATATATATATATATATATATAAACATTGATGCAGCATCATGCATCATGCATGTACATATAGCCGTATCTAAATGATAATAATTTACAAGTGCATGTATAAATTATAATAGCATGTACTTAAATCTAGCAATCATTTCTGTAAATCTAAAAGCTAATACAAGTCTATAATTACATTTTGAATATCTAACTATAAAACCAACCATGAGCTTCGGAATATTCAAGCAGTGGGTGACAATAAAACATTAGTTATAAAGTAGAAATCATCGAAAAATGGCATCGTCGAAAAATTAATTTGTTGCTCTTCTCGTCATTGCTTCTCTCCTTGTTAACAATGTGCAATCATTTCCTGAATGCGGAGTCTTCCCATTGGTACCTTGTAACTCAAATGACGATTGTGTCAAGTTATGTGGGAACAAACGACCACTTTGTGTGCCTGTGAATACTCCAGTAGGAGAATCTCGTTCGTGTTGTTGTAAGCATGATTAGGAACAATGTAATTTGACGGAGAAATCAGATATTGAAATCGATCAATAAATGATTCGTTATTAATAAAATATGTGTTCATCATTGAAACGTCTTACGAGTAAAATCATAAGAAGTTATCCTTGTTGTGACCGTATCTGTTTTTTTTTTTTTTCGTCAAACCACAAAATTTAAAGTTACATTTTTAGTCTTATTAGCGAGACCGATGAGTTCAAATACTTTTGAAGCTTCAACTTAGCTGAAGCCAAAATCACTACAAATCTTTCCTTTCCAAGTGAATTCTCCTTCCTTAAAACAGGCGGGAAGGACATTCTTATATATGAGAGAAGAGAAGACTATGCTTCTGCTTCATCTTATGTACGTAAGTAGAGAGACAAAAATGGTCTTTGCGTCAGGTTAAGATTAGATTACTCGTTTCTCCCAAGTCTAATTGATGATGTTTCTCAAAATTGTCTTGCTTATGTTCCAAGATCAGACTACGTATATTCTTCGTTGTCTTTCAATATCTGAGAGTTTCTCAGCCTCCTTTTACGTAGTGTTTGTATATGATCAATGTTTTTCTTGACCTAACAAGAAATCTATCTGAAAACACTAAACCTTAGACTATTTATCTCTAAACCGATATCCTTTGATAGTCCCGGATGGATTTGATCAATCCTCATCTAAGAGATTTGATCCAAGGTCTCCTTTGCATAAGTGAGTTGTTTCCATCCTTTTGGGGCATCCATGGCTAATCAGACATGCCCGCGTGAGTATTTCTGTTGCTAGCAAACGCAATTCTGCCTTAAAGAACAAGAAGAAGAAGCTAATGGGATCTTTTTTTTTTTTTTTTTTTTTTTTGAAGCTAATGGGATCTTTCTCCATTAATCGTTTAAAAATGTACAAGCTTTAAGTGTAGACGCATCTCTTTTAAATTCTTATAATTGTTATCAATATACAGTAAAACTTCTATAAATTAATAATATTGGGACCATGATATTTTATTAATTTATCATGATATTAATTTATCTATAAATTAATAGTTATTAATTTATAAAGAAAAATTGCTTTTTGCATATAATTTTCTAAAAATTTATTTGAAATAATGTTATATTTTATTAACAAATCTCATAATATATATTATGATTAAAAATCATAACTATCACAATAAAATAAATTTTTACCATATTGGATTGTCCATATAAAAATATACATGTTCATAAGTTGAAAATTTATAAAAAATTGGTGTTATTATCAGTATCATTGATGATAAAATTAAAGATAACGCTACAATGTATTTAAAAATATTTACATGTAAGAAAATCAATTATCACATCAAAAAATCATCATAAATTTTGAATGTATATAGTAAAACAACAATAAGAGCTACTGATATAATAATTAGAAAGATGAAAACCAATGAGATTTCAACTTTAACTAAAAACAAACACATTAGTCATATTTTAGAATATTAAATTTACATATAATTGCATAAATTATATAATTATTAATTTATGTTTTGTTGGAACCATGTATTTACATAAGGGTCTCAAAAAAATTATTATTTTATTATCTTATCGAATTTGATGGATTTTTATATTAGCCCGACTTGGAACCAACAAAATTTATTAATTTATAGTGATTATTAATTTATCGAGTATTAATTTAAGAATAATAATAGTCTATAAAACATCATCTCTTATATACAGGAGATAGAATCTACTAGTCTAAAGTTTATACTAGTAATAAAACCGTCGTTGTCACCTGCCTGATGCGTGAATTGTTGATTGAAATAAGATAAAAAAAAAAAAATACTGTCTTCATCCACAATTCATCAGACATAAAATCTTGTCGTAAAAACAAAAGAAGACATCAAATCTTTTTGGGGGGTCAAAAATAGAAATATCTACAAATTTAGGATTAGAATGAAAGACAAAACATGAAGCTTCTGTTCTGTAGTTCTGTCTCTTTTCCCTTACCTTCTCCTCTCAAACCAGTTTTCAGTTTCTCTCTGTTTCGCACTCCAATCTCTCTCTCTCTCTACCTTTTGACTCCATGCCGGTCGCCGGCGAAGTTTTCGACGGGAAATAATTTCCGGGAGGTCACCGGAATAACCCGGGACAACGAGATCCAATTCAACCAGCGGAGATTTTGGGTAAGCATGTGGATACTGGATTAGTCTTCTCGTCTTCGTTTTATTGCCTGACTTTATTCATCTTCTTTTCGGTGTTCTCTGCTCTGTTGCTGAGATTCGTATGATTCTTGTTTTCGGATCTGGGCGCATTATCCAATTTCAATTTTTTTGTTTTTTTGGGGATTTTGGGGGTTTTAAAGTCTCTTGATTTGGATCTATTTTCTCTTGCTCGTAATCATATAGACTGGGAGAGATATTCTCCGTTTAATTGATATCATTATCAACCTTTGGCTCGGGTTTTAGGATCGATCTCATGTTTTTAATCCGAAGGATAAAGAGTCGATTTTGACATTTCTTTTTTTTCTTTTTTTTTTATTTAGTTAAAGCTTTCCAGATTCTGACATTGTGTTCTATTGATTTCGATGATTTCTACAGATTAATTGGGTATGGCATTGGTCAGAAGATTATCCAACTCTGGAACTCACTGGTTTGGGTGAAAAATATTTGAGGATGTGTGTTGTTATTGCTTTGATTTATTTAAAATTTGATGGAAAAAATAAAGAGACTCTTTTAGAGCAACAATCAGAATCTGTCTCTGGATACTGGGACAAGAGTTTCCCAATTTAGAAAGAGTTGTTTTGATACCTGAAGAAGAAAAAGAAGAAGAGTCTTGACAAAAAATTGTTTTTTTTTTTCCTTTGCTTTTTGAGGGTTTGGTTGGATTCTTTGTATTGAAATAGGTTGTAACATTAATGGCTAAAGAAGAACTTTCTCCTGAGAGAAGAGAAGTCTCTGCTTCTGCTTCAGCTTCAGCTTCTGTAGTAGTGAGCTCGAGGGTAGGAGAGAACGATGTTCATCGCCTCAGGTTGGGATCAAGTGACTCGCTTCTCCCCGGTCTTATCGACGATGTAGCTCTAAATTGTCTTGCTTTGGTTCCAAGATCCGACTATCCCACACTATCTTGCGTGAGCAAGAAGTACAACAACTTGATCAACGGTGGACAGCTGTTTGGTCTGAGAAAGGAACTAGGGATCGTCGAGTACCTTGTTTTCATGGTTTGTGACCCAAGAGGCTGGTTAATGTTCTCTCCCACGAAAAAGAAATGGATGGTTCTACCTAAAATGCCCTGCGACGAGTGCTTCAACCACGCGGATAAAGAGTCTTTAGCTGTCGACGACGAGCTTCTTGTTTTCGGGAGAGAGCTGTTTCAGTTTGCGATTTGGAAATACAGTCTTAGGTCTCGTTCTTGGGTCAAATGCGAAGAGATGCATCGTCCTCGCTGCTTGTTTGCGTCAGGAAGCCTAGGAGGGATCGCTATCGTTGCTGGAGGAACAGATATGAACGGGAACATATTAGCATCAGCAGAGCTTTATGATTCTTCTTCAGGGAGGTGGGAGATGCTTCCCAATATGCATTCTCCTCGGAGACTATCTTCAGGGTTTTTCATGGACGGGAGATTCTATGTTATTGGAGGAATGTCGAGCCCTAATGCATCGGTTACTTGCGGAGAGGAGTTTGATCTAGAGACGAGGAAGTGGAAGAAGATTGAAGGAATGTATCCGAATGTGAACCGAGCAACGCAGGCTCCACCTCTTGTTGTTGTTGTTGACAATGAGCTGTTCACGCTTGAGTACTTGACCAATATGGTGAAGAAGTATGATAAGAAGGAGAACAAATGGGAAGTGATGGGGAGGTTGCCTCCAATGGTGGACTCATCAAACGGTTGGGGATTGGCGTTTAAACCGTGTGGTGATAAGTTGTTGGTGTTTTGTGGGCAACGAGGTTCGAATGGAGAGGGCATTGTTGTGAACTCTTGGTGTCCGAAATCGGGAGCTAAAGATGGGAACTTGGATTGGAAAGTGCTTGGTGTTAAAGAGAATGTTGGTGTGTTTGTGTATAATTGCGCAGTGATGGGTTGTTGAAAAAAGAAACCAGTCTTTTTGTTTCTTCAAATCTTATCTCTGGTTTTTTCTTCTTCTTCTTCTTCTTCTTCTTCTTCTTGACTTGTCTCTAGTTTTTTTATAGTTTTCTTAATGCTCTTCTTCTGCTTTTGTGTCTGTTCTGTTTTTTTTTTTTTAGTTTTTAATTTATTGTTGGTAAATTGAAAAAGAGAAAATTCATTACTCTGCAAAATGTTTGCATTTTTTACTTGATTCATAATTTACTTGAATAAAAAAAATTCCAATGTGTGTCTTATTGTTTTACGGAGAATGCTTCTTTTGTTGTTGTTGTTGTTGTGAGTAGGGATAATTTGTAATTTGAGTTGTGTGAGTCTTTTCATATGGAAGAAGTGAAAGCAATAGAAGGTGGCTTTACTAGAGGTTCGTGACGACGTGATCCCATAACCAGTCTGATTCCCACTCTATTTTGCAATATTTTTTCTCGACGTAAATATATTTTATTTTATCTCACAGTTTCTAATATGGCTCTGTTTTTATTAATTTTTTACATAATTAGTATACAATTAAAACTTGTTTCGCGACAGGTCTCAAAAGTACTAGAGACAAGTATGATGTAGTCATGTAGATCGCCTATATATAATCTATCATTTTTATGTCTGAACTTCGCGGTTGGATCTAATGAATTTGATTTTTTTGTGTTTACGTGTACATAACGATTTACGATCCACTTTAATAACGATTTATAATCCACTTTCTATGTTCCAATTTTCCAATACTAAAGGAATTTAGTATATTTGCATTTTTGCTTTTTGCATGCGTGAGAAAGTTAACATGTGATACGAGTTTGTATACTAGTAATTAATTCAACACACGAGTTTACGTCTATTAATGGGTGAATACAGTTATAGAAGTTAAGAAAAAGTTCACTTTATTTGTGGAAATATATGATAGATTGTTGAATTTCAATGTGATTTTTCATAAATAAAAGGGAACAACAAAAAAAAGCTTTGAAGTTAGTTGACATTTTATTTTAACAAACAAACTACAATATATATTGTTATAAATTAATACTCAATAAATTAATATTTTGATAAATTAATACATTTTTTAAGTTTTAAATTAGTTTTTCGAACTGATTTTTATATTAATAAATTAAGAACTTAATAAATTAATAAAATATTATAGTCTCGACAATATTAATTTATAGAAATTTAATTGTACTGTTAAAGTCCAAAACAAACTATCGTTTCTTTGCTTTCTCATCACACGTTTTCTTTGGTCTATATATGTGTTCATCCATGTATTTCCTCTATCTTATAGCTCTTGCTGAGCTTGTCTTTCTATATGGCTAAAGTATGGTTCTTATTTAATTACTTGTAATCTTTTATATTTTAAAATCAAGAAAATCCTTTTAGAAAAAGTGGTACGTACAAGCACTATGACATTATTCAATCTAATTTAAAAACTCTACTTATGAACTAAATTCTACATAGTCCAACAAAACTACTTTTATATTAAATAATAATAGATGTCTATCAGAAGATATGATTATGGTTGTGTCGAAAAATCCACTAATTAAGGTCACTGTAAACACTAAGGTCTTTCTCCCCAACAGTATGGGTCTTCGAGCTTGACACTCTAGTCTATGTACATAGTCTATAGTACATTGTTACGTATAGTCACACCGACTTTCATTATTTTTGTTATTATTTATTACTACATATATATATCATATATTATATATGGTGAGTTCATAATTCATGACCTGCGATAAGTGCAAAACTCTAAACCTTACACTACCCAAGAAATAGTCAATATATTCATTAACCCAAATTTGCAAAATTTAATTATCAACCACCCTCCGAATTTTGTCTAATCTGTTTTTGAACCTCAACTAATATGCTCACACCAAAAATAAACTCCGATTTTGAATGGCATAATATAACTTCCAATCTAGGTTAAAAATTGTTTGTTGTTATAAAAAAGTTATAGTGAGTAGTGACTGACGATTCACGAATTCTTTTTAAGAAAATAGATATACCAAACGTTAAATCAAATCAACTTTATCATTGAAGAATATAAAAACATATCACGCTTTTCAATTTAGTGGGACGTCATTAATTATTATGACTCTAACTTCTAATATGTACATGCTAAACATAATCCTATAATCATTACCAAAAAAGAACATAATCCTAATTAATTCTGCTGTACGTACGTATATGTAAAGAGATAGAGAGAGAGAGAGTGGTTGCCTACCAATATGCTTTAGCCTTTATGTTTGTCGGCCAATTCTGGTGTTTGGTTTGGATCACTTTGGTATGCTAATGCTACTTTCACGTAATCGGTAGGTTTGGCCATTCAGATATAAAAACATCCCAATCCAAATATATACTCGATTTGGACTTTTCTTATTTTTCTTCTACTTATATATTTATGACTTTTTAATTTCCGTTTATCCCAAAATACTTATCGTGGTATCATGTAGCCACATATTTTGTTAGGTTCGTATGTCGTTGTGGTTTATTTTTGGTCAGTATATACTTAAGATCTTGTGGATCAAAAAAACATGCAAATTTTCAGAGATATACTCGCTATTTGAATCCACATCTGTTAATACCCACATATATCTTGGATCTCTTTCGTGTCTTCAAATTTTATGAAACAGAGCTAATAATTTGGTCCGTCTCAAGGTTCATGTATTTCTTCCAGTCCTGGCATATTCAAGTTTTTTTTAGAAAGGATGCCCGAATGCTATTGATCATCGGTTTCAATTTTAGCTATTACGATTCAACAGTTTTTAGTCCTTTCGTGCTTAGTAGGTAGATCTTTATTTATTATTTTCTCATATGCGTAATTCTTCTATTAATTAAGATTTATATCTCTCGGTTTGTCTCTCAGATTTAAAGTTTTTGTTTCTAAGGGTTTCCACGACCTCTTCGGTTTTATTTCGGGAAATAATATTTCGACATTTGCTGGTTTTGTGTAACTCAAAGTTGAATATTAATAAAATTCATCGACCGAAATAAAAATGGAGACACAAAACTTCAATAAAATAATTATAGAGTCTTCAAGTAAACACCTCCGCTAGCCGATGATTGACTGGTTTTGAATCCAAGTCAAAAATAGCTTTATTCATGCAAGCGATTACTCCTACAATGTTTTTAAAAGCAGAGATTCTTCTTCGTAAGAAGCAAAATATGTAAAATAAAGTCACTTTAATTCTGGGCATCATTCCACAGCCGAATTTCAAATAAAACTAATATCTTCTTTATCCTTCATTAAATCAGCATTTACAAAACTGTTTAGAACTAGAAGCACACAGTCGGGAAAAAAAAAACTAGAAACACAAAAGATACATGACTAACATTTTTAGGTTATATTTGTATGTTTGTGTTTTTGTTTTACCAATAGAATACGTAGGTTTAAATTAAAATGATGACACAACAACGACACTGATACAAACCATTAATTGAACTATATATTTTATTATATTTCATTGTAGTAATTTGTTATCAGAAAGGAGATAAATATGGTCAGCAAAATATAAACGGTGGGTCATTAGGAAGAAATTGTTGAATAAATTTGTAACCTCAGCTTTTAAAAAATAAATTAGAGAGGGTGGTTTCGAGTTGGAGATATTAACGTGAATTTTTTTTTTTTTTGATCAAAAGATATTAACGTGAATTAACGAAAAGAAAAGCATAGAAAATGTCAAATCACATCATTTATATATTATAATTTCTATGGTTGTCGTATAGAAGAAATATTTAAAGATAACGTACAATATGCGCCACCTAACTAAGCACAAACTTCACTCATGAATCCTGATCGTGATGTATGAAAAATCCGACCTCCCAGTACATAACATCAAAGAAGCATTCTCAATCTTTCCTTAACTTTTTAACAAAAAACAAATTATTTTGGCTAAACCTAATGATTCACTAGCAATCTTAAAATTTCAATATAATATTACATTCAATAATTATATGAATCTTGCCAAAATTTATCTAATACTCCAATAATTGATTAGCAATGTGAAGTTTATATAATATCTTTACCTTCCAATAATTAATTAAATCTGCAAGACATTATTTTTAGAACGATCTAATAGACACTGAGCTTGAAAAAAATCTAAAATACAGTATTTTCACAAGACACTTAAGTTGTTAACAAGCTTCTGGCCAACACAAAATTTAACACCAAACAACGAAGAAAATTTTGAGCAGAGAAAAAAATTCACGACTGAGACCAAAGGATATCACTAAATTTTATATGACATCTAATAAACCAAGGAATTCGGTTAATCCGCCTAACTATTTGTCTCGTCGAACGAATTCAAAACTATGTTATTCTAATGATCTAATCTATATATTATATATCTAAGCCTATATTACCGGAAAGTCGGAAACGAAAATTGTAGTCAAAACTAATTTCTTTTGGGAAACCTTTACTCGGGTCTGATGACTAATACAAATGCAGGTGTTACATCAAACTTGGGTGATATCAAAAGCAAGATCCATAAAGAGATTTAATTGACATGAGAAAGAAAAGAAGAAAAGAAGAAAAGCCACTATGTAATCGTACACATGTCATAGATTACACACATATATCGAATTGTCCCGCGCCGCATCTTAATACACCGCTGCGCATCTAATACACCGCAGCACATCTAATAAAACCGCAGCATAAATAAAAATATAAATGAATAGCTTAGGTTATATAAGTCTACTATTTAACGACCAAAAAAAATTTTACGTCTACCATTTATTTTGTTGTAAATACGTAGCCAAATTCAAAAACTGTAAATCGGACACATGATATAAGTCGATGGTCTAACTATATTAATTGACGAAATTAAACCTTAATCGATCAATAAGAATATGAGTCGAATATCTAAATAAGTTTATGAGAAATGAAAATACGTTTACTTTGCAAGTAAAATAACGAAAAATAATATACTCAGACTCAGTTCAAAATTAAATAAATAGATAGTAAGAAAAAATAAATCGACAGATAAGAAAGTTTACCATTTAAATTCAGTATATGACTTGTTCGAAAAAGTTCATTCTATGACATTTGAAGTGTTTTTTCTGCATTAACTACACTGCTAAGCATATTTGTCTGTCTATAGCAACGGAAATATTTGAAGCCTAATGCCTAAATTATAGGTTTCAGAAAAATAAATATGTTGATGTTTTTCCACATAAATGGCATCACATTTAATAAAATTTATAAGCCCAACACTTGTGACTTATCCAAAAAAAATATAAACAATTTGAATATTAACATCAAAAATGGCAACAACAAAGAAAACAAAAAAGACTCGTAATGCTTTCAGCCTTTTAGGCAAGAATGAAATATGAAAATTGAGAAGTGGGCAAATCCTTGATCAACAGCAGAGAGAGAGAGAGGTAGGCCCATCTCTCTCCATAAATGAGAATCATGCTTTTCTCTCTCTTCCTCCATTCCTTTTTCTCATTCTTCTTCCCCATTTACAGCCCAATTCCACTAACTTCCTCGTCATCATAAGCACTAATCTCGAGGAGATAAAGAAGCACCTCTCTCTCTCTTGTTCCTTCCGTTTCAAAGTTTCTTCCTTTTGGGCGGGTTTTCAGGAAATTTTGGATTTTTCTCTTCTTAGGGACGTTTCTTTAATTTCTGTGTTTCTTGTAGTTGTGGGTTTTTGTTTATAGTTCTTGTTACTGTGTCACGCTTTTCTCTAGCAAACTGTGAAAGCTTGTGACGACTATATGATTATTCTGGCCTTCTAATAAAAGTCTCCATTTTTCTATTGTTAAGGTTTGGCTCCGTTTCTTTTCCTCTCACTTCTGCTTCCTGTGGATAAATATTTGAATGTTGTCTGAAATTAATCTCTCGCTGTTTGTATAGTGATGGGTACTGATGAGAAGCCTCTTAATCCTCTTGATTCAAGCCATGGTGATTCTGCCCCTTCTTCAAATCAGGTATATATACGCATCCAACATATGTATGTATGCAAGTATGAATCTTTGAATGAATTACATGTGTCTCTAAGAGAAGTTGTGGTTTCATGATGTGTGAATTGCAAAAAAAGGTGAGCTTTTTGTGCTAATTACTTTCCAAAAAAGCTTGATATTGGTTGAGACTTCATGTTTTTGGAGCTGATCAAATTGTTCTGGGAACCTTAATCTCTGATTAGTGTTGTTAGTTTCATCCAAAGGATTACCTCTCTTCAGGAATTGTTGTATTGTTCTAAGTTCTCATATAACTCTTTTGTTACTTTCATCTTTGTTCTTATTCAGAAGGCCGAAGGATCCTCTGCTATTATAGAAGAGATATCTGCAAATGCTCAACAATGGAGGCGAAAGAACCTCTCTTTGCAGATACCCTCGAGAGCAACGGGTCTCTCTCCTGAAGACTCGGTTGTAATCAAAATGCCTCCAACGCCTAGTCCAACTCCAAGAAGAGTGAATTTTTCTTTAACTTCGAGCTCTCCAGGTCCTGGTCCTACTTCTTCTTCTTCTGTTCCTCCGCGTGGCAAATCGTCCCTGAAGAATCTAATCCCAAAAGTTGGGTTCAAACCAAAACACTCTAACACCGATATCGAGAAAGGACAAGGGGATGTCTGTTCTCCTTCTGCACTGCAAGAGAAGGCTTCGATATCGAGGTCATTGTCACTTACAAAGTTATTTACGCCTAGGATCAAGAGAACTTCATCTCTACCTGTGACTCCCATTATTCTTTCAAACTCAGAGTCAGCTCACGGAGGAACCAGTGTTGCTCCTCAAACTCCAAGCGTAAGCTTTCTCTTGTATCGTTTCATACTTTAGGATTGTTTAAGTACTTATACTTGGTATTGCAGAGCAAAGGGAGTGTGCAGATAGCTCGCTCTCGTTCTGTGCCTGTTAATGACAAGGATGCAAGCCTAAGGGGAATGGACTCATTCTTCAGAGTTATTCCTTCGACTCCTCGTGTAAAGGAAGGAGACATTTTTTCAAATGCATTAGAAGCTGGTGATACTGGTAAGTTCAACTTTCAATCGGTTATATGGTTTCTTTTTCTTTTCCCCAAGATATCTGTTTACCGGACACATCAAATCTTTCGTAATGTTTTGTACAGAAACAGGCGATGCTGATGGAGAGGACATTCCTGAGGATGAAGCAGTTTGTAGGATTTGTTTGGTAGAGCTCTGTGAAGGAGGAGAAACCTTAAAAATGGAGTGTAGTTGCAAAGGAGAACTTGCTCTTGCCCATAAAGAATGTGCTCTTAAATGGTTCACCATAAAGGGTAACAAAACCTGTGAGGTTTGTAAACAAGAAGTTAAGAACTTACCTGTAACACTCTTACGGATCCAAAGCATTCGAAATTCTGGTGTTCCTCAGCTAGATGTCACTGGTTACAGGTAAAATACTCTTATTATTTTATTCTTGTACAAATTGTCTGCAATAGTTGGAATTTTACAGACATTCTAAATATTCTTTTGTTTAAATACTAAACTTCTCCTAAATCTCTTTACTATTTCTCAACAGGGTTTGGCAGGAGGTGCCGGTTCTGGTAATCATCAGCATGCTTGCTTACTTCTGCTTCCTCGAGCAGCTCCTGGTAATCTGTCTCTATTATTTATAGTCACCCTTAACAAATTAACAAGCATCCGGATACAGACATACATATACAGAAACACTCCAGACAGATATCTCTATAAGAGTAAGTTTCTTTTGCAGGTTGAGAAATTGGGGACGGGTGCAATAGCGATATCTCTGCCGTTTTCTTGTATTCTTGGTCTTCTTGCATCCATGACCGCATCAACCATGGGTAGTAGGTCTTCTTTTGGAAAAATTCTTTTCAATGTGTTCCTCCACTCTGATCTGTTTTTTCTGGTTCTGGATTAAATCTTGTGCAGTAATGAGAAGATTTGTCTGGATTTACGCATCTGTTCAGTTTGCTTTGGTGGTTCTCTTCGCCCATGTTTTTTACTCTGTGGTTCGTACCCTTCAATGCATTTTTTTCTTTCCTATATTGTCTTAAAATGGGGCCAGACATACCCTTAATGCTATAGAACCTGCAAGCTCTTAGTGCAAAACTCGACATAAAGTTGCAACTTTTATAATAAAGTCAGCTGATAGACATTTTTTGTTTTAAAAATATGTGGAATCAGGTGGAGTTGCAACCAGTTCTGTCGGTTCTTCTTTCAACATTTGCTGGATTTGGTGTCTGCATATGCGGAAGTTCAGTGATGGTTGAGTTTGTGAGATGGAAACGAAGATGGCGAGCAAGAAGGCTCGAGCAGCAGCTGAACCGTTCTCAGACGCTTCCGCCACCACAACCGGTGGATGCAACAACCTCTCAACATCATCCAATTGCCTCTTAGAGCCAGGAAGTGGAAGATACTTACAGTTATACAGTAGTTGGTTAAAGTTATGTTATGATTTGTATAAAAAGAATAGGGAAAGTGATGGAAGAATGCTTAAGATTGTTCTTTTGTTTGTCTTGCTTCTTTACATACACCACTGTATTGTTGTAACTTGTAAGTTTGTAATTTTGATTTCTCAATCTCTGCAAATGAATTGTTTGTAGTAGTATTGAAGTTTTCATGTGTAATAAATTTGGTAGTTATGAAAACAGCGCCAGTGTTAAAGTCAAAAATGAAAAAATAGTTTTTAGACTTTTATTTATAAATAAACAAAGCAGTCCAAAGTATAAACCCAACACAAACAAACTCTCAACCTTTAAAATCTAAACCCTGGCTAATCCATAATTTTAAAAGATTTAGCATAATTTTTTTTTCCTTCTAAATTATTCCAATAGATTTTGTGGACTCCAAAAACAAAAGAAGAAAAATAATAAAATTGAAAAATGGGTCACGAGGCAATCACGTGCCAGTTCGGAGGAAAGATTCTTCTTCTCTGTTCCGTTCCTGACTTAAGCAAACTCTTTGCCCTTCTTCTCGACGACGGTGAACGTCGAAGTGAAAGATTACAGCGATGAACTTCTCAACGAGGCTCGCTGATAAACTTCCCGGTATCTTACCGGCGCCGTCTTCTCCGCTCCTGCGTAAAGGTTTTTATTTTTTTACCTGTTTCAATTGTTTCGCGCTTGGTTTTCGTCCTGTGACCTTTTCCTGGTTTTTGCGTATTGCTTGTTTGTTTTGTTTTCTGATAAGATTGGATGCAATATATATAAGGGAATCGAAGGAACATTTATGTTTATGGGTTTGTCTTCGTTTGTAATTTGTAGTCGAAAGTCTGGTCCTTTGCCTCTGAGGGAAAACTTTCGTGTTCACTATATCTAAGCTCCATCTTCTCTAGTTTTCTGTTATTTTCTACCACCCTGAATCAAAATCCATCATCGTTTAATCTAATAAAGGAAACAGTGTTTCTAGGTCGTATAGCTTGTTCTAATGTCCAATTCCAATTCACATTTGGCTATTTTAGGCGTTTTGGTTGTTTAGTTGAAGATGAAAGCTAATGAGCATTCATCAATCCTTTCTTCCTCATGTGTGTTAGGATTCCCTGAGTTAAGATCCTTTTCAATTGCAAACCACAGTAGAAGATTGAGATGGGGATTGCAGAAGAAGATGGTTTGGAGTTTGCAGAGAGCAGAACTCTGTGTAGTGAGCAATTCATGCATAGTTCATCCAGCAAACGAAGCCTATGCACAAGAAGCTATCGAAGCAATCAAATCCGAGAAAGTTATCGCTGTGCCAACCGATACGCTTTATGGATTCGCTTGTGATGCTTGGTAATGTAAATATCCTTTTCACTAGTTATCTGAATAAGCTTTACATTTCCTGGACTAAATTGTGATTATATGACATATCAGTTCTTTAGAAGCAGTTAACCGGATATATGAGATCAAAGGCCGTAAGCTTACAAGCCCTTTAGCCATCTGCGTTGGCGATGTATTAGATATCAAGAGAGTTGCTACCACAAACCACTTACCTCACGGTTTACTCGACTCGCTCTTGCCCGGTCCAGTCACTCTCGTACTTCAACGAGGTTTGAATCTTCTTCTTAATGTGGTTGCATCGATATGATCTCTTTATGTGAGAGTGTTCTTGTAGTGTTTAAACAGGTGAGTCAAGCATTCTTGAAAGGTCTCTAAACCCAGGGATTGATACTATTGGAGTACGGGTTCCAGATTGTGAATTCATTAGGGAAGTATCGAGAGGTTCAGGCAGTGTGTTGGCTCTTACAAGTGCTAATCTAAGCGGTGATAGAAGCAGCGTTTGCGTTAATGATTTCGAGAATCTTTGGCAGCATTGTGCTTATGTCTATGATGGTGGTTTGCTTCCATCGGGCCGTGCGGGATCGACCATAGTCGATCTGACTAAAGTGGGAAAGTATAAGATCATTAGACCTGGAAGGTATGCCATTGAATGGATTTGAAGTTTGAATCTTTTGTGTGTTCTTGAGCTGATTACTTTTGTTTATTGTTAATTCAGCGCGAAGCAAGCAACAGTGGCGATTCTTGAGAAGTATTTGCTGGAAGAAGAAGAAGAAGACTGTTAAGAGAAGAATGCTGGCTAAACTCTGATATGATTTCCAAGAATCTGAGGTTTTTGCTTTAGTTCTTTACTCGATTTTTGGTATTTGTTTAAGATATCAGATATGTATGTGTAGTGTAATACGAGAAGATTGTTGATTTTGAGCGTATGCCAGCTTCAATTTTTCGTGGCACGTATGTGTAATTCAAAGGGTATTAGAGAACCGTTGCGTAATTTTCACTTATATCTCTTATTGATCCATTTGGAAAACGAACAAAAAAAGTTTGAAGTCTTTTAGATGGTAAAACATTCATGTACTTTATATTTTATTTGAGAAATACCCTAAAATAGTTAATTTTATTTGAAATGTTTTCTACTATATTTGAGTAAAAAGAAAAACCGAAAACAAATTTTGTTATTCTGGTAATTTTATCTCCATATTATTTTCTTCACAAACGTGTCATTAGATGAATGAAAGGAAAAAAAAGTTAAATAAAATAGTTAATCTTTTCTGAAATGTTTTCTACTATATTTGAGTAAGATATCTGATATCCGAGGTGCAGAGCATCTTTCATTTCTTTGCCTTTCCAAACTCGAACGGAGAAAAACTTGCACAAGTAGAGGAGCTTGTGAATCAAAAACTATCACAATATTTGTGGTCTAGTATATGAACGCAGTGTGTGCAAAAAGCGTGTTTTGTCTAATTGAGAGATTCACAAAATGAAACCGAAAATAAATTTTATTATTCTGGTTATCTTATCTCCATATTATTTTCTTCCCAAACGTGTCATTAAATTAGACGAATGAAAGAAAAAAAACGTTAAAACAAAGGCTACAACAAAAAAAAAGTTACAGGCTAAAATTAGAAGAGAAGAAAAATAGAGGACCTCAATTATCAAATTTTCATTATCCACTCTCTGCTCGTTTTTTCCTCTTCTACTCAAAATTTTGGGACTGTAAAAATGTCAAGTGTCAATCTGTGTCATATCGTCTTTGGCTGTTTCTGAAAACTCTTAGTAGAACACTAGAACGTCTATCCTCGGTTTATTTCCCCCGGAGTTATATATATATACGTATGTGAAAAATCAATCCCTCTCAAACTCTTCTCACCACTAATTTCTTCCTCTGGAACATTCCCTTCTCTATTTTTGATTCCTTGGCTTCAAGAGTGGTTTCTCAATTGCGTGTTCTTGGCTCGCGCCTTCAGGTACTTTTTTTTTAAGCATTAGAAAAGGGGTTTTCTCAATTTGGTTGAATTAGTTCGTACGTGTCGTCGATAAAACGAAGGAAAGTTTTATCCTTGTATGATAATTCTCTGCGGGTTAGTTTCTTTGTAATTTCATCGGGGGAATTGAGATAATTAGTTGGGTATTTTCTGGGTTTTGTTAGCCTTTTCTTTCCTGAGGAATTTATACTTTCTCTGTTGATTTCTACTTCAGAATCAGAGCTGAAGCAAAAAAAAAAAATTAACTTTTGGTTTCATTTTCCCATGATCTTCCTTGTAACCAAACTGGATTTAGGAAGAGTGAGATTTTGAGTGTTTCTAATGAGCTAATTTTGTTCTGTGACTGTGCAGCTACTTTGATTCTTTTGAGGAAATGGCTACTGGAGTATTGCCAGCTCCGTTTTCCGGGGTCAAGAGCTCGGGTTCGAAACTCGGGTTTGGTAAAAACATCAACTTTGTGAGAATTTGTGATTTGAGAAGTCAAAGATCTGCTAGAAGAAGAGTTTCCGTTGTTATCCGGAATTCGAATCAAGGCTCCGATTTAGCCGAGCTTCAACCTGCATCAGATGGAAGCCCTCTCTTAGGTATATTAAATATGCATATAAGATTCATTCAGGTTATCATGTCTTTAGCTTCTTCGTTTTCGTTTAGAGTGAATGCTTGTATGTTATATTGGTTTTTGTAGTGCCAAGACAGAAATATTGTGAGTCATTGCATAAGACGGTGAGAAGGAAGACGCGTACTGTAATGGTTGGAAATGTCGCCCTTGGAAGTGAACATCCGATAAGGATTCAAACGATGACTACATCTGATACAAAGGATGTTGCTGGAACCGTGGAAGAGGTGCTTGCTCTTCCCTTACATCTATTTGCAGTTTGGAATATGACGTAATAACATTTGTATGTGCATCAATATATATGAATACTTGGTGTCAGATGCTTGAATCGTGTTGCACTTGTAAGCCTATGACTGTTCCATTGACATTACAGAGACAAATTGTTGATTCCGTGATTGTAGGTTATGAGAATAGCGGATAGAGGAGCAGACATTGTCAGGATAACTGTTCAAGGGAAGAAAGAGGCAGACGCATGCTTTGAAATAAAAGATAAACTTGTTCAGCTTAAGTAAGTCGATGGCCATACCAAGTATTCATCCTGCTATGTGGTTTAACTAGTATGAAACTGAATTGGTTGTTTGCTTTGTGAGTTATAGTTACAATATACCACTGGTGGCGGATATTCATTTTGCTCCTACTGTAGCCTTGCGAGTAGCTGAATGCTTTGACAAGATCCGCGTCAACCCTGGAAATTTTGGTATGTATTTTTTTTTGTCTTTCATCTGTTTCTTGAACTCAATAATGATTGATGTTTTTGTATTTGTAGCGGACAGACGGGCCCAGTTTGAGACGATAGAATACACAGAAGATGAATACCAGAAAGAACTTCAGCATATTGAGCAGGTAGAAGAAAATCTTTGTTTCACTTGTTGTCTTGTGAAACCTGTAAAGTATTAATCGGTCTAAACTCTGTTTTTCTTAGGTCTTCACTCCTTTAGTTGAGAAATGCAAAAAGTACGGGAGAGCGATGCGTATAGGGACAAATCATGGAAGTCTTTCTGACCGTATCATGAGCTATTACGGGGATTCTCCACGGGGAATGGTGAAAACTTCTTAAATCCTATGAAACGGTTTCTCTTATTACACAATGTAGGACTGTTGTCTGATTTGAGTTTGTCACACAGGTTGAATCTGCGTTTGAGTTTGCAAGGATATGTCGGAAATTAGACTATCACAACTTTGTTTTCTCGATGAAAGCAAGCAACCCGGTGATCATGGTCCAGGCGTACCGTTTGCTCGTGGCTGAGATGTATGTTCATGGATGGGATTATCCTCTGCATTTGGGAGTCACTGAGGCAGGAGAAGGTGAAGATGGAAGGATGAAATCTGCAATTGGAATTGGGACACTTCTTCAGGTACATTTCTCGTTATAAAACTTAGGGTAAAGATCTTCCCTTTGAGAATTCATAAAACGTGATGAATTGTTGTAATTGCAGGACGGACTAGGTGACACAATAAGAGTTTCACTGACTGAGCCACCAGAAGAGGAGATAGATCCATGTAGGCGATTGGCCAACCTTGGAACAAAAGCTGCTCAACTTCAACAAGGCGTTGTATGAATGATTCTTCTTCAGATGCTTCTCTACTATAGTTTTCACTTTACGAGACTAACATAATGCATTGTATTAGGCACCGTTTGAAGAAAAGCACAGACATTACTTTGATTTTCAGCGTAGGACAGGTGATCTACCTGTACAAAAAGAGGTAACACTGTACATTTTGAAAGAAAAAAAAAATAGTTTTCTCTACTTCATAATGTCGTTGTCAAGTATCAAAGAAATTGAAATGATTCATCCTGGAAAACTTTAGGGAGAAGAGGTTGATTACAGAAACGTCCTTCACCGTGATGGTTCTGTTCTGATGTCGATTTCACTAGATCAACTAAAGGTGAGGATTTACAAATACTCTTATTCTCTTCTTCTGTTTATTTAACGCAAAGTATAGAACGTATCATTTTCTTTCCTTGGCGTTCTTTCTAGGCACCTGAACTCCTCTACAGATCGCTCGCTACAAAGCTTGTCGTTGGCATGCCATTCAAGGTTGGATATGGTTCATTTATTTTCATGAGAGACGAGGTCTCACCATAATGATTTGAGAATGGTCACCAATTCTTATTTCTCGAGTAATGCTTGGTTAGGATCTGGCAACAGTGGATTCAATCTTATTAAGAGAGCTACCGCCTGTAGATGATAACGTCGCTGTAAGAATCACACTTTCTTCCTCCCTACCATTTACTTATCATTTGACATGGCAGAGTATAAACATTTAACGTTTTGTTTTTGTAAAGCGTTTGGCTCTTAAACGGTTGATCGATGTAAGTATGGGAGTCATAGCACCTTTATCAGAACAACTCACAAAGCCATTGCCCAACGCAATGGTTCTTGTCAACCTCAAAGAACTATCTGGTGGTGCTTACAAGCTTCTCCCTGACGGTGAGTCAAAACTTCCTGAAAAAACTCACAATAAGGAAACAGAGCAGCTTTTTTCGGTTTTCTTAGCTTCGGTTATTTCAGGTACACGCTTGGTTGTCTCTGTTCGAGGTGATGAGCCATACTCGGAACTTGAAGTGCTCAAGAACGTCGATGCTACTATGATCCTCCATGATTTACCCTTCACTGAAGACAAAGTTAGCAGAGTACATGCAGCTCGGAGGTAATAATTAGAGAATATATCTCGCTGTCTAATCTTTTGCTGAGTTATATCAGCTCAGTGGTGTTTCTTTGTCTGGATTTGCAGACTATTCGAGTTCCTATCCGAGAATTCAATCAACTTTCCGGTTATTCACCACATTAACTTCCCGACCGGAATTCACAGGTAGAAAGCGACTGAAACCCAAACTTTGTGCAGTGAGTGGAAAACTCAAATTTTGATCGTTTCTTGCTTCTTGCGCACGATGCAGAGACGAATTGGTGATTCACGCAGGGACTTACGCTGGAGCACTTCTGGTGGATGGACTTGGCGATGGTGTAATGCTAGAAGCACCTGATCAAGATTTCGATTTCCTTAGGAATACTTCCTTCAACTTATTACAAGGCTGCAGAATGCGTAACACCAAGACGGTACGTATTATAAGCACAAAGAATCTCTCTGTTTCTGTTAGTGTTTTTGTCCTCAGAGAAAGTGAAATTGTTCTGTCGTAGGAATACGTATCGTGCCCGTCTTGTGGAAGAACGCTGTTCGACTTGCAAGAAATCAGCGCCGAGATTCGAGACAAGACTTCGCATTTGCCTGGCGTTTCGGTTAAGAAAACAAAAAAAACAAACCTTTTTTCTTTTTGTTATACAAGAAAAGTTTTGTGGTTTTTGGATTTGTTCAAATGAATTGAATTTTTGAAAACAATGGCGCAGATTGCAATCATGGGTTGCATTGTGAATGGACCAGGAGAAATGGCAGATGCTGATTTCGGTTATGTAGGTGGTTCTCCAGGAAAAATCGACCTTTATGTTGGAAAGGTAACACCTTTATTCTTTTGGGTTACTTAGTATATATGTATTCGGTTTCAAAAACTCCGAGCTTTCGGGTGAAAAAAGGAATTGGACTTTTACATTTGTGGACAGACGGTGGTGAAGCGTGGGATTGCCATGACGGAGGCAACGGATGCTCTGATCAGTCTAATCAAAGAACATGGTCGTTGGGTCGACCCGCCGGTTGCTGATGAGTAGCTTCGTAGTGATTTAACGGCCAAGATGGATGGATGCATCATTTCCTGGAACCGAGAATGAGAGATGATATATATGTGTATTTGTATATATCTACTTGTTGTGTATTGCATCATATTCAACAACTGCTAAATTGATAAATAGTTCTGAGGTCAAATATATAACAGAAGTAAGTTAGAAGAAGTTGCTGATGCATTGGAGAAGAAAAATTATCTTTTCGACTTTTCTCTTTGCTTAGATGAAATAATTACTGTAAATTTTCATTTTTTCAATGAAACAAAAATATTAGACTTCAAAGTATTTTTTTTTATAGGAAATTATCATAAAATTGCAACTATTTTAGAACTATATTTGGATATTCATCTGATCAAATGTTTTTATTTAAAACAAGTATTGCATTTAAACATACATTACACAAATTAAGAGGAGGTTGAAGTTGCCTTTTGCATTTATCCTATAAGATACGTCGTTGCAACCTTCAAAACTTATATATTGGTACAACGTAAGCCAAGGATACGTTGTATATCCTAGTTGTTTGCATTAGTATCGCTAAGATGTGTGAGTTATACGTAAATGATAAAAGAAACAGAAACAAAACTTTCGATCAGCACAAGATTAGTCTTTATAAATATATATATAGATACATTTATATATTCGTTCAAAGATAGCCATTCTCTTACAATTAAAACACTCTCAAGACATACAAGTGTCCATATGGGTACACAAGAAAATCATAAGAAACACAAGATGGCTTCTTTTATCTTTCACATAATTTGGGGCGTAAACATTTTTAGTTATTTTATATCATTTAGTTTAATTTTTAGAACATATGATGGAAACTTTTGAAGAATTAAAAAAAGATTGTGATTTTTTTTAATCAAAGAGGCAGCAACAAACGGGGGTGGGTCTGTCAAAGAGGCAGTGGCCGTCCATGCCGGCAGGGTCGGTGCTCCTGTGGCAATGTTTGTCGCAGTCACTGTCGCTCTTGCACGTTCCTCTCAAGCGACACGGTCCGTCCATTACTTCTTTTTCTGTCACTTCACAATTAAAATTCAAGAAAATATCGTACGTTTAGAGGAGACATGCAAGAATAACAATATCTATTAATGTAAGCTTAAATTAAAATGAATGAATGGAAACACTTTAAAAATACCTGCAGTTTGCGCAGTAATAACGACAGAGAAGATGACGAAAAGGGCAACGAGTTGAAATCTTGATGACGCCATTTTTTTTTTTTTTTGCAGTTTTGTTTTCTTTTTGCAATGCAAGATATTCAACTTGAAATTTTGTGTTTTGAAAAGTAAGATCGGTTTTTGGGGTTTTGTATGTAAAGATTAGTTTTAAAGATAGTAATTTTTCGCTTCTTTTTTTTTTTTTAAGAGTACTCCGATTTTAGTCAAGGTAATTTATGGTTAATGTAGCATTAAAAGGGATTAAACCTCCTCAAAATAGAGTTAGCAATCGTTTCTTACTTCTAAATTTGGTAAGGATAAGAAAGAATGGACGGTAGAGGAGAAACTTTGATTATTTGAAAATTTCAAGAACTTCTACGCGTAGCAATGCAAACCCATCCAATGCAAATGTCAAATGGAAGCATAGGGAGTTACATACATGATCTTTACCAATGCTACCAATATCTTTTATGGACATACCCGGTCCATAACATAAGATAGCTGAGTCCAATAAAATAAAATAAAATAAAAAATGCATAGGGAGTTAGGGCATATCGTATTTTTAACGCCAAGTTCATAGGCTAACAAAAAAAAAAGTTTTACATTAGCCAAGAAACATGTAAATATATAGAACTTTTAAATCGTAAGTTAACCTTGTAGCATATCCTTGAACATACAATGCTAACGTTGACCGTTAGGTGCAAAAGCAATATAATTTTCATGCATTTACAAACATACAGTTGCTTACAAATTAAAATGTATGATGGCATTACGAAACGGAAACAACAAATCTAAAGTTTTGGGCCAATATATTGGAAAGATTTCGCCATGGAAAATGAGGTTTAATGACTTTTGTTTCAGATTTTTCCGTTATTTTTTTTACCTTGTGTATAACTCTGACTTTATAAACAGTTTCAATGCTTAAATAACAAAAAAAAAAAAAAAAAAAAAAAGAAGAAACACATACAGTTGCTTACGCTACTAAAAAAATCCACGGCGGTTTCAATAACTTTCAGAAGATCTCAGTGGCGGCGTATTCATATCGTGAACGACGTCGTATGTTCTCTCGCCGTTTCTTCAACACGTATCCTCCGACGCCGACCATACTCGCCGCCGCAATCGCTCCAACCGCGATTCCGGCCTTCTTTCCTCCCCCGGAGGATTTATCATCGCCTTCCGTTCCGGTAACGTCGGTGTTGTTTACCTCACCGGCTTTTGGAGATTCCTCAGACGTCGGCGACGGAGAAATGTAATCATCAGGCATCGTCGGAGGCATTTCTGCTTCTGACTGCGGCGGAGACGAATAATGCTTGATCGGAGACGGAGCCGGTGAAACTTTTTTACTTGAAATGTCACCGGATACGATTCCCGCCATTAAAAACAGAGCTACAATTATGAAAACAACCTTCTTCATCATCTCCAAGATTCAATACCTCGCTCTCTCAAGAAGAGACGGAGAATAAATATATAGTGTGCGTATGACGAATTATGTTTCGCCACGTCAGAAATGTATAAAAACCAGATTACGAGAAGCATTTTGTTGATTTTCCACTTAAAGTTCATATGAGTGACACTAGAGAATTGCTTTGGCACCTAACGGTCAACGCTTTGGAGCAATCAACTATTGTGTAATAGGGAGAAGTTAATGAAATATAAGAGTCAATTATCAGTATCGTAAGGCAAATAACCACTTTATATAAATAAAATTAAATCTGTTTCTTTTGATGGTTGACTTTAATTAATTTTAGAAGGTTTCACAACTCAACAAAAGAAGAAATGTAATCACTAGCGATAAAAACAAAATGAAAGAATTAGGAAATGGATTATGAATCTTCATGTGAATAAAGATTCACCGGTGCAATGCCAATCTGCGAGTCCAGTGAATTGGGCTCAAAATTTCTAATTATAATTGGGTTGGGCCTTATAATACTAAAGGGCCTAGTGGTGTTGCGCTTTGGTGTTTTCTGCTTCTTCCCTCGCCTCAGCTTTCACCACCACCACAAGAGACAACAATTTACCGGCGATCGGGAAAGTTTCCGAAATAATGAGCACTTCGGCAGGGAAGCTCGTGACATCGAGATCGGAGCTTGATCTTGATCACCCTAACATCGAAGATTATCTTCCTTCTGGTTCCTCCATCAATGAACATCGCGGCAAACTCCGCCTGTAAAATAAAAAACTCTCTCCGCATGTCAGAATTCTTTTTGAGTTTGAATTTGAATTTGATTTGGATCGGCTGATAAATTATCATCGTCGTTTGAATTGCAGGCGTGATTTACTAGACATCTCCCCTACTCTCACTGAAGCTGGTGGTGCCATTGTTGATGTAAGCTATTTCTGACTTTCACCAAAGGTCACCCGAATCTGTGAAATCTCTGTTCAAAGATTCGATTTTTGATTGCAGGACTCCTTCACCAGATGTTTCAAGTCGAATCCTCCGGAACCTTGGAACTGGAACATTTACTTGTTTCCACTTTGGTGCTTTGGGGTTGTTGTTAGATACTGTATTCTCTTCCCGTTGAGGTCTGTTTCCTCTTTATCTTCTCCTTTCCTGTTCGATTCTCTCTAGTTTCCTTTTCTGTATGTTCAGAGCTCAAAGTTTTAAGATTTTTCAGCCATGTGTTTTGGACTGATCCTTTCATTGATTTTAATAAACCTGCAGGTGCTTCACTTTAGCTTTCGGGTGGTTTATTTTCCTTTCAACATTTATCCCCGTACATTCGTTGCTGAAAGGCCATGATAGGTTGAGGAAAAACATAGAGGTGGCTTTAATTCTCTGTTTCTCGTTTCTCTTCTATGATTTGTGTTAAACTAGTCAGAGCATTTTGTTTATTAACAAGGAAGTTTTCTTGTGTATCTTCTGCTTTGTTGATTTTTTTCCTTCCTTGTGGAGCTCGGCGACCAATATCTTGACGTTGAAACTTGTATTTTCTTTCACTGTGTTACTAGAGGGTCTTGGTGGAGATGATATGCAGCTTTTTTGTCGCCTCGTGGACAGGAGTTGTCAGATATCACGGGCCACGCCCTAGCATCCGTCCTAAGCAGGTCATGTTTCCTTTTCAAAAGTAGTTCGGTTTCAACTTTGCATCTCCTTTTATACTTTTATGCCTATGCTTATTTTGTGATTTGGATTTAAACAGGTCTATGTTGCCAACCATACTTCCATGATTGATTTTATCGTCTTGGAGCAGATGACCGCATTTGCTGTTATAATGCAGAAACATCCTGGTTGGGTTGGTAAGTCTCAGGGGTGTTTAGAGCGCGCATAAGTGTGCTTATGACCTTGATGATGGCTCACTTTTTTATATAGGCGTTTGACTGATTTAGTGTCGAGTGACTGGTTTTCCTTTCGTGCATTATTGTCACTTTTGTTGCTTTGAATATGAAGGGCTACTGCAAAGCACAATATTAGAGAGCGTAGGATGTATCTGGTTCAATCGTTCTGAGGCAAAGGATCGTGAAATAGTAGCGAGAAAGTATGCATGATTCTTGTGCCCCTTAAACTGTCATTACTTAATCTACTCATAAATCATGGGAACAAGAATTTACATAATTTCAGGTTAAGGGACCATGTCCAAGGAGCTGACAATAATCCTCTTCTCATATTTCCCGAAGGGACTTGTGTAAATAATAATTATACAGTGATGTTTAAAAAGGTATTTTAGACCTAACTATGATATGATTTTCCTCGTAATCAATATTTATGTTTCTGATTTGCTTCATGACGATGTTCAGGGTGCTTTTGAATTGGACTGCACTGTCTGTCCAATTGCAATCAAATACAACAAGATTTTTGTTGACGCCTTCTGGAACAGCAGAAAGTAAGGGACTTTCACATCACCATAGACAGATAATTTTGAATTTTTTCTGGTACAAAGACGGGCAAATTATTTAGGGCCATTTGCGTTGTCTTGGTAACAAAAGGTCTTGCGTTGTCTTTGCAGACAATCATTCACTATGCACTTGCTGCAACTCATGACATCATGGGCTGTCGTTTGTGAAGTATGGTACTTGGAACCCCAAACTATAAGGCCTGGAGAAACAGCAATTGAGTTTGCAGAGAGGTAAAGTTACTCTTTCATCAAACAAGACATATACTAAGATGTTTTTGTATGAAGAAAATTGGCATGGCATTCTTTTTCGTCTGGTAGCTTGTCTAACGTTTATGAGATCCACTTTATTTACTTGGCACAGGGTCAGAGACATGATATCTCTTCGGGCAGGTCTCAAAAAGGTCCCTTGGGATGGATACTTGAAGTATTCACGACCGAGCTCCAAGCATAGTGAACGCAAGTATGTTCAACGTGTTTTTATTTCTAGAAATTCTACTGCTTGTCATTATCCTGTTGAATTTGTTGAATCTCTTAAGAAATATGGTTATGCGTTAGTCCTATTAGGTAAGGATCATATGGTACACCGAGTTTATTTGTGGTGCGTTACACAGAGCCGACACTTTCTTATACAGCACCCATTTTAATCCCAACTTCGAACTTGCATTAATTTAAGGGCTCAACTGTAGTGATCCTTGAAATAATACCTAGTAGTTGCAGTTCACATTCGTACTTGTTGTGTATGACACGCTTATTTGTCTTTCTTTGAATTCACAGGCAACAGAGCTTCGCAGAGTCAATCCTGGCTAGATTGGAAGAGAAGTGAATGCAAAGATGAAGTTATATTTTCCTTGTGGTGTAGCACTTTTCCCTTGAGATTAAAACAAACTCATGGCTCATGTTCTCTATGTTTTTCATTCAATACAATACATTTTGTGAATCTTCTCAATAGACAGAACTCACTTTTTGCATCTTGTGCGTTCGTATACTAGACCACAAATATTGTGATGGTTCTGAATTCTGATTCACGAACTCCTCTAATTGTGCAAGTTTTTTCCCGTTCGAATTTGGAAAGGCAGAGAACTGAAACGTGCTAATCAGTTGATTTCAAGTGTCTTGATCCGCATGAAATTCGGCTTTGCAACAAAGATGCACGGCAAGATTAGCTTTTTTATTAATTTGATTGTGCAAACTTATTTCAGTGTGTGACAGTTCTACAAGCTGGCCTTTGAAACCAAATCAAAAGAGTTGAAATTGCCTTTCTCAAAACTAAAGTTACTTGTCTCCATCTTTCTCTAGTCCAAACTCGTGATGAAAAAATTCCGGTCATACAATATAACTTAAGGAGACGTATTTCTATAACTCATGTCCTTTTCTTAGCTTACTGATCACAATTCGTCCTTGGAATCTGTTTCAGGGCTCTTTGTTATGCTATCGGCTTTTCCTTTGGTCTCAGTAGTTTCCCCTTTTGGTGTGGACTCGACAGTTTTAGGAGATTCTGTTGATGCAGGTTTCTCCAGTTTGAACGGGATAGTTGCGTGTTTCCTCAAAAACTTGTAAAATGCAACCACAGTGCGGTCTGTATCTACCGTTATCTGCTCCACACACAACGAAAGTAGACAATTCTCTTAATAGAGCGAATCCAAGAAGACAAAACCGTTGCAGCCAAAGAACCAAAAACTTACCGGCTCTGAGGTCTTGTTTCCTGCAGGGAAGAAAAGAATTGTAGGGAATCCTTCGGCCTGCACAGAATTTTACGCCATAAACAATTCAGGCTTTGAGCATAAAAGGTTTTCCATGTCTAAAGATGTATATTTGATACATTTATTACGCTTATTACCTTTGCCTTGGGGTGTTCATTGGTTGTTCCATCCATCTTGGCTATGACAAGAGAATCAATGCTTTGTAAATGTTTGGCAAGCTTGTTATACATTGGCTCAAGGGCTTGGCAATGGCCACACCATGGTGCATAGACCTGAGTTTTGTCTTAAATGTGAGACAACGTGAATTCCGTATCGGTTTATTGATGGACTATGATACAATATAATACCTCGAGAAGAACATCCTTAGACTCGTCCAGAACAATTTCATCAAAGTTATCTCCGACTACTATTTTCACATCTCCATCGTTCTGTAGCCACAAAATTAAGTTTAATGTTACATAAAGAGAGAAGACGAATGAAAGATAAGAATGAATGATAGGAAATAGACACCTTTACCTTTTCAGGAATGGGGTCTGACTTATAGAAAGGCTTTAGTTTGTCGCTCAAGAATTCCTCCCCGAATGTCTGCAAGAAGTTGTAGGTTTAATATCAATCTTTACCGTAAAACCAAGTTTTACTAGTAAAAAAAAATTCAAAGAGATACCTTAATTTTATCCGACTTGATTTCTCCATCGAAGAAGTGTTTTTTAGGATCTTCGTTCCCTGTGTAGGCAATAAGCTAGACACAGACCAACATTCGGGATGTATTTAGACGAAAAGATCTAGGATTCAAGACTCTTATAAATGTGCAACTTTTCAGACCCAGAACAACAACAAAATTAACTTACTTTAGGTCCGTTTCCAGACACACCAAAGTATTCGGCGACTGGCTTCCCATAATCCTCATTATCCAGATCCACAGATACGAAGATGAGCTGTAGCAAGAAACAAAGACTTCTTAGAAGTGGCCTTACAAAGATAATATATCGCCATGGTTTCCCTAAAGATCCTTTTTCATGTACTTGTCTTTATACGAAACAAAGACTTTCAAACAAATCAGAGGTTTCACGGGCAGGACCTATGTTCATACCTTTCCTTTAAATGATTTAGCTGCTTCTTGATATTCTGGAAGAACCTTTTCCGAGTCATTTTTGGTTGTGAACAACAACAACTGCAAAGAAAACATATACACAATCGCGTTAGTAAATCGACCTAAACCATCTCTTTATCTGAACTGAAGAACCCCACTGAATTATATTAAACACACCTGTTTCTTGATTGCACTCTCAAAAATTTCGGGGGCACTGTCTCTGGTGAAAACAGAGACCAAAGGAAGCTTGTTGGCAGACACAAAACTAGCTAGAGCAGACTTAACAAAATCCCCATCTACGGATTAATAACACAAAAACAAAATAAGCAAAGCCCAGTAACAAAATTACTAAATCAAAGCACAACAAAGAATTATAGAACCAACCAAAATGGCTAATCTTCTCCTCTTCCCTCTTAACTAGGACCAAAGCAGGCCTTTTAGACTCCGGATCGATGTGAAACATCTTGGCAACCTCGGGACTCACCGTTTGATAGAAGTTGACATCGTCTTCAGCTTTGGAGGCAGCAGCAAGTTGATCGTGCTCAGCACCCTGTAAATTCCGCATTTTTGGTTATCCAACGCATTGAGAAGGAACAACAACAAAGATACCAATGTGGATTAAGGAAACATACCACCAAAGAGTTCAAGTAACCCAAGACGACTTTGTTCCCAGAAGTCAACACTTTCTCGGCATCATCTAATGTGGTTAGATTATACACACCAGGACCTATCTTCTTCTTCACCCACGTCACAATTGTTTCCCTAAATCACATATCAGTAAATTCTCCACTCAGATCCGACGATGCCATAGCAATACAATACAATACCAAAATCGAATTGATTCGAGATTCACTTACTTGGTCCTCCCTCCAGTGTAAGGCTTGTGCTCGCCATCTACGAAGAAGAGAATGGTCGGGAATCCCTGAACGCTATACTGATGAGCAAGCTCATTCTCCTCCGTCGCGTCGATTTTAGCCAAAACGACACCGTCGCTCTTCAGCTCCGTCGCGGCAGCCGCGTACTCGGGAGCAAGAGACTGGCAATGGCCGCACCACGGCGCGTAGAACTCAACCATAACGTATTGGTTGTTCTCGATCACGTCGGTGAAGTTGCGCTCCTTAATGACCACCACGTCTTTCTCGTCGACTTCCGGCGCCGGGAACGGATCCGAGTCTGGATTTCCTAGATCGGAGAGATCTCCGTCTTCCTCGTCGTCTTCGTACATCTCTGGATCTTCGTCTTCTCCTCCGTCGAATTCGTCAAGTCCAGTGGAAGTGAGTGGCTCGGCGGTACCGTCAGCTTCGTCTTTGAGATCTTCGAGGAAGCTGAGGTCCTCATCGTCGACGTCGGAGGAAGAGGCGGCGAAAGAGGGAGAAACGGCGGAGAAAATGAGAAGAGCGGTGAGAGAGAGGAGGAGAAGAAACCGGAACGCCATTTTTCGTGCGACTGTGAATTGGAAACTCTCTTGAGGTGTTTTGAGATCTAACCAACTACGAAGTACAAACAAACTGATTTCTTATTTCTCTACACATGTTCGTAGTTACCCAGAAACGTCGTCGTTTTAACAGTACTGTGTAAATAATATGATTATTTCATTGACTAAAATACGACCAAAATTTATGGGTTGACCACAATTTTGGTAACAGAAAAAAAAAACGAATCAAACCAATTTTTAAAAAATTTGAACCAAAAACGAATCACACTTATTATTCTAAAGTCCAAAAAAAAACAAGCCAAAATTGATTCGAAATCGTTTGTATGTATCGAAGGACATGATCATCTAAAGGATATCATAAGGTATATCTTATTCAATATCTATATATCTATTTAGTTTAAGAAGTATTTATACTATATAACATTAACTTGTTATTATGATTGAAATTCTTCTTCTTGACCCATTGTAACGTTCTACTATTGTAATCAAACCGATAGCAATTGACAAATCTTGAAAAGAAAACCAAAAAAAAACTAATTTTATTATGGCTAACTTAAGCATCAGACTTAATCACAATCGTCCGGATTACATTAGCACGTCGTTTCTTGACAAAAAAGTAAATTCCCATCGAGAGAAATGCTACGAAAGAAACGCCCAACACTAGTCCAACGGTTTCTCCTCGTCCTTCTTCTCTGCTACTCTCGCTTGTGTGTTCGTCTGATGAAACTTTGCTTCCTTGTGTATCTTCTGCTTCTACATTAGTTGTCTTTGAAGGTGAAGGGGAAGGTGAAAGCGATGGCGAAGAAGGCGATTTTCTTGGTGGATTGTTGTCAGGGAGTGATGATTTCGGGTGAAAGAAATCGTAAGCTTCTGGAGATATAGCAGAAGGGTTTGAATAAGCTGGACCATGAACAGGTCTGCTTCCTGCAATGGAAATACATAGAAGCAAAGACAAGTAAGAGAAGAAGAAGAGCAAAGAGTGAGTTAGGTAAGTCATGTTGTTGTTTTTTGTTTTTCTCTAAAAGCTTCGTTAATCTTTGATTTTGTTTAGTTTGTCTGTTTGTGTGTGTGTGTGTGTGCTTTGAGTTTTATAGGATTGGTTATAGGTTATAAAGGAGATAGTTGTTGCTTGAAGTGCAAATTTGTATGATTGTCTCATATCAAAAGAAAAAAAAAACAAAAGAGTGTTTTTAGTGATTAAGAAGAGAGAAGTCATGCAGTTTCTGTTTGTTTCGACCTTTTGTGTATAATTGACCAATAATACGAAGTGTTGATGAATGAACACTTAATCTTTTCACAAACAAAACAAGTTGTAGTTTATTGGTTTTACCCTTTGTATTTATATTGTTTATGTTTGATCTGTCGAACAAAATATTTTGGAATAAGGTCATTGTATTTGTTCCTCTTCTATTTTTTTTTTTTTATATAAATTTAGTGGGTAAGACTGATGATAAAGAATGCATGAAGAGTTTGTTAGCTTTAAGGAACCGCAATGGAAAATAAAACAAGGAAAAGGGAATTATTAATCGGGTCCACACTTTAAGGTTGCATTGTTCGGTTTCGATAATCAATGTGAAACCGAACCAGATCAAATTCAACAAAACCAAAACCGTAAACAACAATGCATATGCTGTGTAATAAAACAATGAAAACATAAATAAATTTTAATCCGGTTCATTTTTTTTATTTATATGAGAGAAAAATGCTAAAAAGTGATGCCTTTGCTTTTCTGATGTTTGACAACAGCTCTATGATTATTATATTGTAGCCCATAATTCATTAACACTACTAGTATGATGCTGGAAAGGCAAAAGAAAGCCGATAAACTTGTCTAATACAGATATTAAAAAACAGAGATAACAAGTGAAGTTTTTCTTGTGTCTCGTATACTATTGTAAACCACATACGTGACATCTGTTGATTCCGAAGAGAAATAGAATCAAATCAAAAGTAAACGTTAACTCTACGAAAAGATAAAGGGAAGAAACTGAGACTTATCTTAAAGCAACATTAATTAAAACCACATTTACACGAATGGGAAATTCCATGAAAAAGAAGGGAAAAAAAACAGATCGAATATATAAATAGAAAAAGATACAGGTAACTTCCACTTAACAATCGTAGTGAAATACTATGCGGTAATCATCATTTTTGATTAAAGGTTGACTTGTAACTTAATCAAAAAATAAACAGTTAAATTTAAGCAGAGCTCCTAAAGGAACCAAGAGCTTTAATCGCAGCCGCTCTTAGAACAAACTGATGGTATAACGCAGCCGCTGCTGCTCCGATCATCGGTCCCACCCAAAAAATCCACTGTTCACAAAATCATCAAAAAAATAATATAATTAAAACATCATTGATTTTCATAATAATATTCCATGTGTCCATATGAGAATTAAAGAACGTACTTGGTCGTCCCAGGCCTTTTCTTGGTTGTAGATAACCGCGGCTCCGAAGCTACGGGCCGGGTTGATTCCGGTTCCGGTGATGGGAATGGTGGCTAAGTGAACCATGAAGACGGCAAAACCAATGGGAAGTGGCGCCAAAACTGGAATGTGAGAGTCACGTGCACTTCGCTTAGGATCGGTGGCCGAGAAAACAGTGTAAACGAGGACAAATGTTCCGATGATCTCCGCACCAAGTCCGGTACCTTTGTTGTAGCCGTCGGCGAGCTCGTTGGCTCCACCTCCATATCTAATATTATATATTAGCAATTTTGTAATTAATAAAACAATATAATCACATTAATTAATTAGACCCTATAAAAACCAATTTTTGGTATAGTGACAAAAATGTGAACCTGGTGTAGTAAGAACTTTGAAATGCTTTGACGAAACCGCAACCGCAGATAGCACCAAGGCACTGAGCCACAATGTATAAAACTGTCCGCACCAAGGACACTTTTCGAGCTAGGAACAGTCCAAACGTCACAGCCGGATTTATATGCCCACCTGAATAAAATTTATGTATATATTTGATGAAACCCGAAATTAAAACAGTACCAAATAGATCTATAGCCAAAAAAAAAAAATTTGTTATAAACTTTATTGTCACGTGAAAATCTATATATGTAACCAACGTTTAGTATACATACCGGAGACACCGGCTGTGCAGTAAACGAGAACAAAGATCATTCCACCGAAAGCCCACGCAATCCCAAGTATCCCTACGCCGCCGCAATCAACTCCTCCGGCGGATGCGTCGGTCTGAGCTTTGTAACCGATCACGGTGAGGATAGAGACGTAAAGGAAGAGAAGTGTCGCCACGAACTCAGCTATGACCGCTCTATAGAGTGACCACTTCCGAAGCTCCTCCATGTCCAACAATGGCGCCGGAGGAGGATCTGCGTAATCTCTCGCCGCCGTTGCTCCGCCCTCTTGCACCTCCAAGTCCTTTGCCATGGCTCCCAAAGATGATGGTGAGAGAGAGAGAAAGAGAGATGAGTTTTAATGTTTGTTTGAGATTTGTAGTTCTTGTGTTTGTGTGGATTGTGTTTATATACACAGAGACTGTTGCAAAGGTTTGGTCTAATTACATTATTGGAAATAAATTTAAGGTTAATAAATAATTATGTAGATAGTCAATTCAAATTATTTATGAAGGAATCTTATCTCAATATGTATGCCTAGCTGGTGGTATTATGAGAAACATCTAAATTTTGCTAATTAGGTTTTGTCAATATTATGAAATAATGATTTTACATTTTTTCTTTTTTTTTCTTAAAACTTTTAAGAATTCTGATATTGGTTTCTCAATATTAGTTTATTATTATTTATTTTGTAGGTGGGTGTGTTAGGTTTAATTTTATTCTAGTCGAATATGGGGATGGGTCACTAATTATGCATGATAATTTGAATATCTTAATTGCAGATATATACAATATTTTTTTTTAAAAAGAAATAAAAATTCATCAAAGTGTTTTACCACTTGTAATTCTATTGCTATACAATCGGGTTTTTTTTTCAAGGATTAGGATTATCTTATAGGTAAATTTGAGTGAAAACTCAAAACGTATAAACATTCTCTCATTTCCCCTTAAATTTGGCAAACGAATGAAAGGCCCGATAAGGGTAAATTCTATAAAAGTGTTCATCGTTTTAACATGAAGGTAATTCATCAAAATGTAGAAAATCAATCAAAAATGTAGAAATAAAGTCAACAGGCGAAACATAGCAATTATAGTACTCTGACTAAATGCCATGAATCATTCGATACTCTTTCTTTTTTTTGTTAAAAAGTCATTCGATACTCTCATTAGGCCTTATAGACACATTCTGATCGGCTAACTGATGGAGTCGCGCAAGCGTTTTAGACAAGTAAGCTTCAATAACTCTGAGAGAACTTGAAACGAACTTGGTTCTTAATTTAGAAGATCAAGAAATCGACTGAATTAATTTGGTTGAGAGTACTCCTCTCAGTGCTGTGCAAACACAAGTTCTTTGGGAAGTTAAGACTTCCTCTTTTGGTTTTTTTTTATTAGTTTTCAAAAGCAAAAGATCAGAAGAAAAAAAAGCTACGACTCCTTTATATAGCTCCTAACACAATCCTAAAGCTATAAGAAGTCGTGAGAACTTAAAAGGAAAACTGCAAAAGGGAAAGAAACGAAAAGAAAAAATACTTAATTTGAAGGACACGTAAACACCAACACCTAATAGACGTGAACCTTCTAGAATAGTTAAGGATGCTCTGCATCAGGTCCTCCGGGGTAGAAGAAGATTCGTCTCTGAATCTGGATCATTATTGTCGCCGCGATAAGGATAGAGATGCTTGACGTTGAAAACATTGGCTGTACGGAGGTCCGACGGCAATCGTACACGATAAGCATTTGCATTGATGCGCTCCAATACCTCAATGGGTCCTATCTTTCGGGAGCTAAGTTTGTTATAGTCGCTTGCTGGTAACCGCTCCTTTGTTAGAACCACCCAAACCAAGTCCCCTGGCTGATACTCAACAGCTCGGCGATGTTTATCTGCCCGTTCTTTATAAGCGGCTGTAGAGGACTGAAGATTCTCTGTAGCTTGACGATGAACATTTAGTACATTGTCAACAAAATCAGCTGCTTGTCCATGAAGACGGATCAGGAAGTGGTGCGAGATCCAAAGGACAACGCGGAGTTATACCATAAACCACTTTGAAAGGACAAAAACCCACACTGTGATTTTGAGCATGATTATGCGCAAATTCAGCGATACAGAGTTTTGAATCCCAAGATTTAAGGTTATCGCCAACTAAACTTCGAAGCATATTCCCCAACACGCGATTAGTGACTTCAGTTTGACCATCGGATTGAGGATGGTATGCCGTACTCATATCAAGACTAGTGCGAAGAAGCTTCCAAACCGATCGCCAAAAATGACTCAGGAACCGAGTATCCCGATCAGAGACAATAGAAGTAGGAAGACCATGAAGACGGTATATGTCTTGAAAAAATAAGGACGCCACCCGAACTGCATCCGTAGTACGCTTACAAGGAATAAAATGGGCCATTTTGGAAAACATGTCAACAACGACAAAGATGGAATCATTGCCTTTCTGTGTACGAGGAAGACCAAGCACGAAATCCATGCTAATGTCTGTCCAAGGCTGCGTAGGCACCGGAAGTGGTAAATATAAACCAGCATTAGAGGCTGAACCCTTGGCTTGTTGACAACTGCGACAGCGTTCGACGAACCGGATGACATCTAGACGTAAAGAGGGCCAAAAATAAGATTCAGTCACGAGTTGCAAAGTGCGATCTCTCCCTACATGTCCCTCATTATGCAGTTCTTTAATAATTTGAAGTCGTAAACTACAATCAGGAATGCATAACTGATTTCCTTTGAAAAGAAATCCCTCATGAAGAGTAAACTCTGGAGATGTTCCTGTAGTGACGTCACCCAAAACCCGAGCAAAATATGGATCCGAGCAGTACAGATCCGAAAACGTCGCAAAGCCTGTAACCGAAGCATGCATTGTAGATACCAAGTTATGACGACGACTCAATGCATCAGCGACTCGGTTGAGTTTTCCAGCCTGGTGGCGAATTGTGAATGTGAATTGCTGTAAAAAGG